TCTGTGAAAGGACAAGGCGGGTCGCTCCTGTGGTGCAGCAGCTTGCCGCTGTCCTACTTTGTTTTTCTTCCGCACAAGCAGGGGAATTTGCTACTTGGCCTTCTGCATGTCTTTCTGGCTCTCTGTTTTGTCTTTGGTTGTCTATTTCTCTGTGACTGAGACGGACGCAATGGGACAGACTCCCTCTACACCCCTGGACCTGATTTTTGCATATTTTGGACAGGTTAAGACTCAAGCTCATAACCTCTCTGTTGTTGTCAGGAAGGATAAACTAACTACTTTCTGTAGGTCTGAATGGCCCACTTTCAATGTGGGATGGCCCTCGGAGGGGACCTTTAATCCCACTGTCATTAACGCAGTTGAGAAAATTATTCTTCAACCACATGTGGGACACTTGGATCAAATATAATACATAGTGGTCTGGGGAGATTTAGTTAATAACCCCCCTCCTTGGGTCAAGTCTTTTCTTCCTTTACAGAAAACTGAGGTGCTGACAGCCACAGAATGGAAAACGACAACCCAGAAAACACTTAAGCCTAAAACCAAACCATCAGTACCGTCACTGTACCCTGTCTTACAGGGCAGCACAGAAGATCTAATTTTTCTTCCCCTTCCTTATCTACCCCCTCCACAGGAGGTACCCCCTCTGGAACCAGCACCCCTGGTACCAGATTCTTCACAGGCATGGGGGACCGGCTCAGGGGACTAGGAGTAGAAGGGTAGTAACACCAGGGTCCAAACTGTTTTACCCCTCATAGTTGCTGGCTCCGTGGATGAGGCCAACAACCTGCCCCATCACTACTGGCCATTCGCCACTAGTGACCTTTACAACTGGAGAACCCAGAATGCTCCCTTTTCTGAAAATCTTAAGGGGATTATTAATTTATTAGAAACTGTCTTATTCACGCACCAACCCACTTGGGATGATTGTCATCAATTATTACAGGTCCTGTTTACCACAGAGGAAAGGGAACGTATCCAAACAGAAGCCAAGAAATTAATTCCTGGCAATACCGGTGTCCCTACTACTGATCTGACACTGATTGATGCTGACTATCCACTGACCCGGCCTGATTGAGATTATAATACTGCAGAAGGTAAGGGGTGGCTTCTGGTTTACCACCAGGCTCTGTTGGCAGGTCTCAAAGTGGTTGCTCATAGGCCAACTAATTTGGCACAGGTATATGATATTAGTCAGGAACTAAATGAAAACCCAGCTGCGTTCTTGGAGCAAATAATGGATGCCTTCCGCAGGTACACTCCATTAGACCTAGAGGCCAAAGATAATATAGTGGCTGTGGCCATGGCTTTTGTTAACCAGTCAGCTCCAGATATAAAGAAAAAGCTCCAAAGAGTAGAGAGACTGGGTGAAAAGAGCTTAAGGGATTTAATACCTGTGGCCAAGAAAGTGTACAATAATAGGGCTAGTGCAGAGAAAAAACAGATAAAGGCAGAAAGGAGGCAGAACAAGGACCTGGCAAGGATCCTGCTGCCATTGCGGATCCAGAGGACCAGCGGAGGCATCTGAGACAGCGTCGGGGAAAGGAGTCTCTTACAGTATGTGGATGATCTATTTGTGGTGGCAGACAGCCAAGAGGCTTGCATGGATGGCACAGAATGCCTGTTGCAGACATTGGGAAGCCTGGACTATCGGGCCTCTGCTAAAAAGCCCCAACTATGCAAACAACAGGTCCAATACTTGGGCTATATACTCAAAGAAGCACTACTGGTAAAAGATGCTGACAAACTGACTTTGGGCCAGAACTTGACCATCACCACACCACATGCAATTAAAGGAGTTTTAAAGCAGCCCCCCGACAGATGGCTAAGTAACACCCGTATAATTCATTATCAGGCATTACTTCTTAATCCTGCTAGAATCACCTTCTAGGTACCAGTTTCCCTGAATCCAGCCATACTCTTGCCAGGCCCAGACTTGGATGCCCCCCCGCTGCATGATTGTGCTGGAATCCTGGCCCATGTCCATGGTATCCGATCAGATTTGAGAGAAACCCCGTTATCTGATGCTGAAGTACATCAAGAGAATGTAGGACTTAATTCGACATGCCGAAGTAAAAATCAAAGAGGCTAATTTAAAGATTAAAGACACTGTTAATAGCTGTAAAGCTTGCCAACTCACTAATGTGGTGCCAAATATTAAAAACCTAGAAATCAGACTTCGAGGGAGAAAACCTGGAGCCTATTGGAAAACGGATTTCACTGAGGTAAAAACCTGACAGGTATGGATACAGTTATTTGCTAGTCTTTGTAGATACTTTTTCAGGATGGACTGAAGCCTTCCCTACTAAACATGAAACAGCTCAAATGGTGGCAAAGAAACTGTTGGAAGACATCCTCCCCAGGTGCGGCTTTCCACAGATGATAGGGTCAGATAATGGACCGGCTTTTGTGTTCAAGGTAAGTCAGAGTCTGGCCACAGTTCTGGGGATTGATTGGAAACTACATTGTGTTTATAGACCCCAGAGTTCGAGACAGGTAGAGAGAATGAATAGAACTCTGAAAGAGACCTTAAGTAAATTGACCTTAGAGACTGGCAGTGACTGGGTGACTCTCCTTCCATTCACACTCTATTGAGTGTGTAACTCCCCTTACCAGATGGGATTGACCCCCTTTGAGATCATGTTTGGAATACCCCCTCCCATTATCCCTAACCTCCTTGGCAGAAATGGTTCTGCAGAATAGGAGAGGCCTAGACCTGTTGTTCTTGCAGCAGGGAGGCCTCTGTGCTTCCCTTAAGGAAGAGTGTTGCTCTTATGTAGATTACTCTGGGGTCATCAAAGAATCCGTGGCCAAGGTTAGAAAAAGTCTGGCTCAAAGGGAGAATGAATACAGGGCTAAACAAGGATGGTTTGAATCCTGGTTCAATAGCTCCCCTTGGTTGACCACTTTGATTTCAACCTTACTCGGACCCCTCCTCATTCTGATTACGCTCTTGACTTTTGGACCTTGCATTTTAAATAAATTGGTAACTTTTATAAAAGAGTGGCTGGGAGCTATACAGCTAATGGTAATGCGAACCCACTATCAGTCCCCCCAGAGTCTGGGTGATGAAAGAACACGATGAGGGAGAACCCATGATTGGGCCCCCAAGGTACTAGTCAGAGGGGGGAATGAGAGACCTGAGTGACTCCATCTTGGATAAAACCTCCATGGGACTGACCCAGGCCTGAATCCTGTTCCAGGAGAAACCACACACACACACACACACAAAAAGTATACTTGGAATGGAGAGAGAACAACTCCCCTGCCAACGGTCAATTAACCAGGGACAGGAAAGTACTAAAAGTCCAGATATCTTTTCAGATTTCCTGAAGCCAGCATATCTTTTCAGATTTCCTGAAGCCAGCAGTTTATGGTTTGGCACTGAGCTGAAACCAATTAGATGCTTGTCAGGCTGGAGACCCCCTACTCCCCTACTTGCTGAACTTGCTGAAATAAACCTATAAAAACCTCTGTCTCCCAAAGCAAGGGGTCTCACATCTGAGATCCGCTGGGTTGGTGACAGAGTGGGCCCAAGCTTAAGCTTGTAACAATAAAAAACTCTTGTGTTTGCATTGGTCTGCTCCTTGGTGGTCTCTGGGGTCTCATGAACTGGGCACAACAATTTTGATTGTGGTTGTGGTGCTAGAGAGTGAACCCAGGGCTTTGTACATGCTATGCAGATACTCTACTACTGAGCTACATCCCCAGGCCTGATGGTTAGGTTTTCATGCCCTTGAGACAGGTGAGTCAGCATTTTTATGGCCAGCAGGAAATGGCAGAGGCTTCACATATAAACTTTTGCTGTCTCTCTTCTCTTGATGTAGTTTAGCAAGTGAGCAAGAAATGAGTTAGCGAACACCTTATGTTTTTCAAATAGCAAAATAATTTTTGCAATAAATGGACAAAAGCTTTATCTCAATCTCAAACATTAAACTGAAAGGAACTTTCCAGTCTAGCATGCTAATTAATATACTTTGAAGCCTTATCCTTTAACTGCTGTGGTGGCTTTTCTTTACTGTTATCAGTTAGTTTTGCTGTATGTGGATTCCTATTTCATCCAATAGGCTGATAATATTTTGGTGTTGATGCTCCAGCATCTTGTGAGCCTTCTGTACTGCAAGGTGCTCCTGGGTCATCTTGGGCTTGCACTTTCACACATTCAGCACTGGAACCAGCTAGTTCTCTGGGGAGTGGAACTGGCTTTAATTACTTACTCTTCGTTGTCTTGAGAGGCCATTTAAGATATTTAAAAGACTTTTTTATTAAGATATTTTAAATTGATCATTTATTTAAAAAACAAGCAAGCAAATATCTTAGGGGTCGGGGAAATTGCTCAGTCAGTTAAGTGCCTGCCATACAGGCATGAGGACTTGAGCCTGGATTCTGAACAGTCATGTGAAAACTCAGGCACAGCCCAGCCTGTGTCTATAACCTAGCACTGAGGGACGGACAGGTGGATCTCTAGGGCTTTCTGTTCAGCCAGTCTAGCCATATCAATGAACTCCATGTTCATTGAGAGGCCCTGTCTCATAAAACAAGGTGGAGATTAAGACACTTCATGTTGAGCTCTGGCCTCCATATATCTGCATACACACATACAAAAATGTACAATATTTCCCACGACCCAATGTATCTTTTTTCCCTTGGTCTTTTTTGAGATAGGGTGTCCCTAAAGACTCAGCTAGCCTGGAACGATGTAGGCCAGGATGGCCTTGAACTCAGAGATTGCCTGCCTCTGCCTCCTGAGTGCTGGGATTAAAGGCGTTCACCACCATGCCCGGCACCAGTATATCTTATGATCACTGTTCTAGATCTAAGTTTTTTCTGCTGCTGTTTTCGAGTGCTGGAGATAGAACTCAGAATCTCCAGCACGACAGGCAAGTGTACTACCATACAGCTCTATCCTCATTCCTGTAAGGGATGAATCTTATAATGTGCTTGGGAAGGGATACTATATTTACCTTCCAAAAACATGGAAAAAAAAAGTGTTTTCAGTATCAATGTAAATATTTTATTCTGCTTTCAGATAAGATATTGTCACATGCTATGTTTAAGATAACATACAATTAGGAGAACTGAAATAAAACATTCATGTATGAGATAGGATTCAGACAAGAAAAATCAGAGCAAGTTTTCAACTTCATTTATTCTATTGGAAACATAGAAACTTCTGGAAGGGACACTGGCCTTGAGAATTAAGTCCTTTTTTTTCCTGCAGGTACTCGTTTAGCTTTCTAGAAAGCATATCACATTCTTGTGTCTAAGAACTCAGTGGCCACCTAGGCTTTCTATCTTACCAAATCAGAAAGCATCACTTTGTATATAGGCCTCTAACAATCTAGGATGTGTTTTTGTAAAGGAATGCCTTCTGTTCTTTTTATTAATCAAGAAGTTACTGAATCAGGGTTGGAGAGATGGATCAGCCAGCAGGTAACAGTGCTTGCTGCCAAGGCTGACCACCTGAGTTCAATCTCTGCAACCCACAGGGTAGGAGAGAACCAACTCCCACAAGTTGTTCTCTGACCTCCACATAACTCCCTGTGACACACCCTCCAGTCTGTCCCCCAACAAAATTACTGAATTAGAAAATGAGTACATGGCATCTTTATATTACAAAGCAAATCAATGAAGACTTAAAAAAAGCAGCTAGTTCTTTGAAAATAACTATCCCAAATTCTGGTATCTGGAGCGACTGATTGCTGCGCTGTCGTTTCTTTAAATACGGCCCCTTCCAGCTTGTTTCCAGACTTCTTTGACTCCCTTAATGCTTTCTTTCTTCACACATTTCCAGTATTCTTGTATATTCTGTTGTTGTGATACCTGTTAATTGAAATAAACATTAGTGGCCCCTCGCGTTAAGGCTGAACTTGATTTCATGCCTACTGTAAGGCTCTGTTTACTGTCTTCCCATACTCCTCAAAGGCTGAGGATGGGTTATGTTGTCAGACATGTTTGCAATGAAAACCAAATTGATTAACTTCCCTCATATTAGGTGTGTTGTGTGAAACTGAGCTTCTTTTCTAAGATGTACTTCTGAAGAGCCATGTCATCATGGGCATGAGCCTTTCTCTCAGTCAAACTACCTACCTTCCTCAGAGAGCCTCTTGGGACCCAAGTTTTCCTGTTGCAGACTTCTTACTTGACAGTCCTTCTAGCAAATTCTAACCCAAGTTAGAGGCCAGTATGTAAGTATGAGTGAACAGTGATAGGTAACATTTACAATTTTTTTTTTTTTTTTTTTGACAGGGTCTCTCTATAGCCCCAGCTGGCCTGGAACTATATAGACCACGCTGGCCTTGATTTCACAGAGATTTGCCTGTCTCTGCCTCCCAGCTGCTGGGATGAAAGGTGTGAGTTAACAAGCCTAGCGGACAACATTTATGTCAGGTACTAAGTATTTTTTTTTTTTTTTTTGGTATTTTATACTTAATTCTCATAATTTAATCTATTTGTTCTCCCATTACAGAAATGAAGAATCTGAGGCTCAGGAAAATTAAGTGGCTTTGTAAGATTCAGCAGTTAAATGATAGAGCTAGGATTTGAACCTAGAGACATCTAATTATGGGGCTCAAAGTCAAACTGTAGGCTATGATTTCTGAATAGTGGCTTTTTAGTAGATTCAGATTCTTTTGGTGTGTGTTTGTGTGCACAAGCATGTGTGCGTATGCAGTGTCAGAGCCCAGGGCACAACCTTGGGTGTTATTCTTCAGGTGCTGCCCACCTTTTCTTGAGACAGGGCCTCACACTGGCTAGGTTGGGTTAGCTGGCCTAAGAGCCCCAGAGAGCTGCCTGTCTCCATCTCACAACCCTCAACACTGGGATTACAAGCACATGCTACCATGCCTAGCTTTTACATGGGTTCTGGAAATTGAACTAAGGTCCTTACTAATTGAGCCATCTCACCACCCCGGATTTAGATTATTTTTAAATATTTTATTTATTTACTTTAAAAATTTTTATGTGTTCGAGTGTATTGCCTGCATGTGTGTTAAGTGCACCCATGTTGTGCAGTGCCTACAGAGGTCAGAAGAAGGCATCCATTCCCCTGGAACTGGAGTCACAGAAGGTTGCTAGCCACCATGTTGGTGCTGGGAATCAAACCCAGGTCTTCTGTAAGAGCAGCCAGTGCTCTTAACTGCTGAGCCATCTCTCCAGTTACCCAGATTATTTTTAAAGCAAAGAAAATATTAAATGTCATTCTTTATAGAAGGTGTTTCAACTGTTGTTTATAATCTGTTTTGATAAATGATTGAAATTCCACTTAACTCATTACATTTGCCCCAAACTGTAGGTCGGATAACCATTCCCACTAACGTGTAAAGACATAGTTTCTATTTTTTTTTGGTCTTTTTTAGACAAGGTCTCCCGGTAGCCCCAGGTGGCCTGGAACTCACTCTGTAGACCAGGCTGGCCTCAACCTCACAGAGATCTGCCTACCTCTGCCTCTGGAGTGCTGGGATTAAAGGTGTGTGCCACCACACCCGGCAAGACATAGTTTCTAAGAATTCAAAATCTGTTACCCATAAGCCTCGATGCATCCTGTTTTTTAATACTCCAAGAAACTCCCCATGGCTAAGGCAGTCATCACCATCCAGATCAAAGATCTTGAAGACAGTGTCCAAAATATTGTTGGAGAGCTCTTGTCCTGTTGTTGCTTTCACAGCTCTCTTAAACTCCGCTAAAAACAAAGCACAAAACAGCCAGTCAACCAGGTGAATTAGGCTACATGGATTTAACCCACATTGCATTATCTGAGAAGTAAACAAAAAAATACCCATCACAAGTGTATTCAAGTCATAGATTTGGTTGAGGAACATCATGAGAGTAAATGTAAGTTATTTCAACTTAAGGCTTCAACCGTATACTTAAATCTCTTCTTTATTAGGGGAGTAAGAAAATAAAAGTAAATAAAGTAACTACTGAATACACATTGGTACTGTGAATCTAGGATAACCAAGGTGAACTAAAAAGCAGTATTTTACTGCTAATCATCTCCTTGATATCTACAGAAGAGTAAAACTATTTACAAATGATAAAAATGATGATTCATATATCTTACCCAGTCTAACAGGGCGATGAGCTAAGCTAAACATTTGCATGGCGATAGCGAAGTCTTCCAAATGCGTCGTAAAATGGCAAAATGACTTGAACTCATCCAAACTAATGCTCTAATAAAAATAAAATGTTTTAATTACAATTTTATATATGTTAAAAATCCTATGAATGTGAGCTTCTAACATAAAGCTTATGAACTCAGATCTCTCTAAGCAAGTCTATTAAAAAGCTGAAGACACAGAATATTAATAGAATAGGTTTTTAGAGCTTAGGAGGAACAATAAGAGAATATCCAGCAGGGCCACTGTGTGGGGTGTGGACTGGATGCTCTGTGTTCAGGGACTCTGGGAGTTGTACAGTGTGAACCTGGAGTTGTTCTGGGTTATCAACTGAATTGTGTCTTTCTTCCTCCCTTCTTTTTCTTCCTCCCCCTCCCCCATTATATTTATTTATTTATTTATTTGAGATGGTCTTACTATGTAGCCCTGGATATCCTGGAACTTGCTATGTATCCTTGGAACTCACAGAGATCCACCAGCCTCTGCACCCTGAATCCTGGGATCAAAGGTCTATGCCACCACTCCTGCTCCCCGCCCCCCTTTTGGTCTTTTTTGAGACAGGGTCTCTCTCTGTAGCCCCAGCTGGCCTGGAACTCGCTTTGTAGACCAAGCTGGACTTGAACTTTCAAAGAGATCCGCCTGCCTCTGCCTCCTAAGTGCTGGGACTAAAGGCGAGCACCACAACCGGCTCCTTCTTATTTTGCAGCTCTAACCCTCTTTGAGGCAGTCACAGAGGTAAAATGAGGTCATGGTGGTCCCTATTCCTGTAAGACTGATGCCAAAAGGGAAGAGACATCAGAGCTCATTCCCTCCCTTGTGCTTTCTCTCTGTGCATGCCCCCCTCCCCCACACTGGGTGCTGTGTAAACTGAGAAGAACCTCACCAAAAAAACAGTCAACAAACAGCTTTGCTGGCACTTTGTCTCTGACCCAATAGTTTTGTGTCTTCTATAAGCATCCATGAAATTGTGCAGGGTTGAAAACAGAGAAATATTTTAGGTACTTTATAGTTATTAACACATTGATTTTCAAGATCTCCTATACTAAATAGAGAAAAATATCAGACCCTTCAAAATTCTTGATACTTAAGAGTTTAAAGACTCCATTGCAAATTAAATAAAGTGATCTATAATATTTTGTTCACATTTTTCTTTGGTTTTTATTATACTTTGGGGTGAAGATGGAAGGAGGAAACAAAACTTTCACTTTTAGGCAGTTATTTTTCCTTAGAAGCTTCTGGGTCTTGAATGTGAAGATCAGTGTGTAATGAATTCATCCTACTCCGGGAGGACACACTGTTTCCAAGTTTTCCCATACTTCTTTGGTTCATTTCTCTCTTTAAATTATTAGGGGGCTGGAGAGATGGCTCAGCAGTTAAGAACACTGACTGTTCTTGCAGAAGACCTGGGTTTGAATCCCAGCACCCACATGGCAGCTAACAACTGTCCGTAACTCCAGGGGATCCAACAGCCTCTTCTGTCTTTTGTGGGCATTGCACAACATGGGCACACTTATCGACACACAGGCATTACATGCATACACATAAAAAAAAAAAAAAAGAGTTAAGCCGGGCGTGGTGGCACATGTCTTTAATCCCAGCACTCGGGAGGCAGAGGCAGGCGGATTTCTGTGAGTTCAAGGCCAGCCTGGTCTATATAGTGAGTTCCAGGACAGCTGGGGCTACAGGGAGACCCTGTCTCAAAAAGAAAAAAAAAAACAAAACAGTTAATTATTTTTTGATCTTAAAAATTGTTTTTTTCTGTATGTAAAGTGTTTTGCGTGTATACATGCAAGTGCACCTGTATATGCAATGCCTGTGGAGGCCAGAAGAGGGCACTGGATCCCCTGGAACTGGAGTTAAGTTTGGTTGTTAGGGGTCATGTAAGTGCCAGGAACTGAACCCAGGTCCTCTGCAAGAGCAGCCAATGCTCTTCACCACTCAGTCACCTCTCCAGCCTCAAGACTGAATTAAAAAAATTTATTATTTTTATTTCATGTGTATGAATGTTATGCCTGTATGTAGGTAAATGCACCCATGTCATGCAATGTCCTTGGAGGACAGAAGAGGCCGTCAGATACCCTGGAACTAGAGTTACGGATAGTTTTTAGCTGCCATGTGGGTGCTGGGATTCAAACCTGGGTCTTCTGAGAACAGCTAGTGTTCTTAACCTCTGAGCCATCTCTCCAGACCCAAGGCTTAATTTTTTTATTCATTTGGAATTTGTTTCACAGCAGTGTGTGCAGAAAAGATTTTATTTTCTCCAGCAACTGGCCAGTGAATTTTTCTAATGCCTCTTAATAATTCTTCCTTTATCCAATTAATTTGCGGTACTATTTTGCACATACTGAATATTTTTGTATTCAGTCCAACTGGTCTGTTATGTCCATTGTCAGAAACTGTTTTAGGTACTAAGTTTTGGTGATTACCTTTTGGTACCTAAACACTCTTCTGATTTAAACTTGTACAAGTTGCCTAGTTTCTACTCAGTTCAATATTTTGTTTCTTAATTTGCTGCAAAGCTGTTCTTTCACTCTATAAACAAAAGCCAATGCAGTGCATTATAAAATTAAGAGTACTGTCCTGCTCTGACAGTATACAACACACACTTTCCTGCACTCCCTGTCATTTCCAGTGGGAAGACCATGAAGTCTTTTGATCTTGATCTAGGGGTGGATATAATCAAGTTATGATATTACATAAAACTTATGATAACAATGCTAGACTGAAATACAGAATTCCTTTTTTTTAATTTTAAAGACATTTTTTATTTTTATTTATGAGTATGTATATGCATGTGCATGTACATGGGTGTCTGTAAAGTCCAGAACAGTGGTGCTTGGATCCCCCTGGGATAGCCCCTGGGGCTAGAGTTACGAGCAGTTCTGAACTGCCTAACATGGGTACTGGGGTTCAAATTCAGGTAATGCTCTTAACCACTGAGCCATATCTCTAGTCCTTGAAATATAGTTTTTTGTTTTGTTTTGTTTTTTTTGTGTTTTGGTCTTTTTGAGACAGGGTCTCTCTGCAGCCCCAGCTGTCCTGAAATTCACTATGTAGACCAGGCTGGCCTTGAACTCACAGAGATCTGCCTGCCTCTGCCTCCTGAGTGCTGGGACTAAAGATGTGCCACCATGCCTGACTAAATATAGAATTATTACAAATACTTTTTACTACAGATAATTTCACAAATTCTGAATACCACAGCTTAATGCCTCATCTAAGGTATTATAAAAAAACATATGTTGTATTTGTCTGCAACCATTAAGAGATTGAGAGATTTTTTTCCCATTGCAGAGTTAGAAATAGTTTCTTTTGTATTGGAATTGCTAAAATTCATCCACAACTAATGTAAGAAAACTATGCTGGAGCGAATGACCTTACTCTAGTCTGTTTAGGGGTGTCGTGTTCACTCAACAGGTTTCACCTATTTCTCATCTGCTTCTTCACTCATTAGTCATGAAGGGTGGGTCAGCATCATCTTGATCAGCCAACCATCTTCATAACAGGGTTTGATGAGGAGCCTTGGATCTTCTGCAGTGTTCTGTTAACTTCAGAAACTCCCCTGATAGGAAATAGAGTGTGCTGGCAGCTCCCACACTGCCCAGAGCACCAAACTCATCTTGATTTTCAATTCTGCTGCAACTTCAGGCAGACTACAGTGGAGAGCATCTCCCAAAGCTTCCTGTGCAAATCGGCTGATTCTTACTGTTCCAAACCATTCTCCGCTGTTCTCCATTCATGCTTCTCTGTGAATTTAGGCAGAGAGATAGCTGCTTCTCAGACCCTGGCTGCAGGGCTCAGCACACCAGAGCTGAGGGCCATTTGAAGTGCGATGCTTGCTGGGGTTCTGAGGTTTGCCCTGTAGGGCCTTTGCCACTGGGCCAGCAGGGGCATCAACCCCATAGCATTTTTACTGAGACCTGTAAGAATTCACTCACATCCAGTTCTTCTCTGCTTCCTGAACAGAGATACTTCTTGGTCTCCCTACACTAAATTTCATGATTAGTTTGGCCAGAATGTGATTCCCTCCCTTTCTTTCTCCTCCTAGCATCTGAGGATGATGCTTCTTTCACGTGAGACCACAGAATGGGGAGCCCTGGAGGGTTTGGATCTTTGGCCCCTACCAGCCCACAGAGGAAATGGAGCATGCTGAAGAAAGAAGCTATTGGGGGTAGGAATTTCAGGGTTAAGTTTGGTAACTAGGGTAAATCTTGGCTGTTCTGCCTACTATAATCATTACATTTATAGAGTAACAGAGAAGATCAGTTATATTTATAATGTTCAGCCTCCTATTCAATACCAGGGGACATCTCTATGAAATTAAAGAAACTAAAATTTCTTCACTTTAAAAATTAAATTTGTTATTATGTATTTCCATTGCAATTATAAATGGGATCTCCTAGTTTCAGGGCATGGTGGTACACATCTGTATTCCCAAGCACACAAGAGGCTGAGGTAAGAGAATCATAAATTCAAGGCCTGCCTGGGCTACATGGTCAGACTCTGTCTCCAAGGGCGGAAAAAGGATCTCCTATTATATTTTATCTTTTCCCTTATACTATTGTAATCCCAGCTGTGAGCCTGCAGTCCCAGAGGTTTGGAAGGCTGAGCTAAAGGGTCACTTGAGCTTAAGAGCTGGAGATCAGCCTTCAAAACATGGCAAATCATGGACCCAAAACAAAAAAAATGAAAATAAACAATTCACTTGAAATCTCACTGCCATTTAAAAATCATTATTGCTAGTCTGGTGATGATCACTTCATATCCCACAGATGTTATGCTTTCTAATTTGGAATGTGCAACAGGATAGTTACTTCTGATAGGCTGGTGCCACAACAGGAATTTTATTGAATTCAGGTGGGTTCTTTTGGGTTCTCAAGGCACACAACTGTATCATATGCAAACAGAGACAGCCATGGCCTCCTTTCTAATTTTTACTTTGTTTTGTTTTGTTTTGTTATAAGGTCTCATGTAGCCCCCAGCTAGTCTGGAACTTGCTATGTAGCTCAGGCTGGAGTTGATCTCAAAGAGATCTGCCTGCTTTTGCTTCTTGAGTGCAGGGATTAAAGGTGGTTGCCACAGGGCCTGGAAAACTTTTTTGATTCTTTGTTTTGAGACAGGGTCTTCCTGTAGCTGCAGCTAGCCTGGAATTCACCATGTAGACCAGGCTGGCCTTGAACTTGCAGAGATCCTTTTGCCTCTGCCTCTCAAGGCTGGGATTAATTAAAGGCATGTGCCACCACACCCGGTCCCCGGCAAAATTTTATACTCTTTAAAAAATAATCTTGTTATTTGCACTGGGCTAAGAGCTCCAGAACAGTAATCAATAATGGTGGTGGATTCTTGTCTTATTTCTGACCAGAGTAAGGCTGCAGTCTCACACTTACTTGTACTGATTCTAATGTCTTAGGCAGTTCATTGACAGGACCAGAACATGGAAAATGTTCATTGACTTGGCTTAGTACTTCAGTAATGGAAGTTATTTAGAAATTCTATACAATCCCTAACATATTTAAATTTTATTATATGTATAAGAAAAAGGCATACCAACCTCTCCTGCCGACAACTTCTCTCTCACATTTTTCCAATAAATCTCTTTATTTTCAGAGTTAGTGAAAAAAAGTAGCCACTCTGCAAAGTCTTCTTTTCTCATGAAATTCAGACCTTTAGAAAACTGAAGGAATTCCATTTCTTGAATCTCTGTTTGTAAATTTTCCATAAACCTAAATATTAAAATACAAAATTGACATAAAGAACTAGTAACATTCAACTTTAATATTGTAAGTGGGATTGCAAGAGTCCACTCTTCCCACTGGGTGGCTGGCCTCTGACAGGGTGGGTTGTGGGGGAGAGGAGGCAAAGAAGCTGGACAAGTCCAGTTCCTGTCCAATCTGGGACTCCCAGATTCAACTTGGTTGTACAGATATCTGGCAACCAAAAGTTTGATCAACTTAAAGATTTAAAAGTTACGTAAAACTGTGCATTGAGACCCGCAGGCCTCTCTCTGGGACCAACCCAGCTCCTCATTGCAGTCTCCAGGAGTCCTTGGGGCCACTTCCCGCCCCCATCTGCCTTTGCATCTCTGGGTGGCATGGCCACCAGCTGCCCTAGACCAGCATCTTTCCTGGGCCAGGCTCCCAGGCCAGTCCAACCCCCAAATTCCTGAGGCCAAAATCTTTCCTGGAGGGATCCAGACCTTATGAGAAAGGCTGAGAGCATCTGATCCTCATCTGACTTGGG